GCCACCAAGCAGCGAGCACTCCGCTGTTTTTGCGGTCGGTAGATCTTTTAGAACTGCAGTTCAAAGGTAACTCATGAGGTGAATGAACCCAGGTAGCAGTTTTTCTTTAGGATTGAGAGGAGATGCAGGAAGATAATAAACAGACAGGACAGAAAAATAGTCAAATAAAAACAAGTTAGTTTTTGTACCTGCTGTTGCAACAAACAGACACCATTGAAGGTCATCAGAAGTGAGGAACAGAAAATGAAATAATTATTTTAATGTTTAAAGCAGCAGGAACTCCGAGAGGCTGCAGGCGCATCAGTGAGTTTGGGGCTGCTGCGCAGGGGGAGGGGGGGGAGAGGGCTGAAGCAGGGGGAGGGGGGAGATGGCTGAAGCAGAAACTACCGTTGTTAAAAGAAATGTGTTTAACTTTGAAAATGTGGGCGCAATTTTAATTGTAAAAAACTCCATCGAACCATTAGTTCATTTTGCTCAAATAGAAATAGAGGCCTGCCTCTAATACTGGCCCTCCTTCCAATAAAGGCCTGGAGCTTGATGAGCTTGAGTCAAATACAGGCCCGGGCCTGTATTAGAGGATTTACGGTATGTCTTGAAACACACTCAAGCCCCCTTCAGACAGGCCATGAAAAACGGAAATGTTCCGGACTCTGTCCCTAAGACCTTTGTGTCTGAATACAAACATCCGGATAACGTTTTCCGTAATTAAACCGGACGAAGCCCCTAGTAACAGGTCCGGACTTGTTACGGACATGGTTGCTGCTTCAGACTGGTGAGGGTCGAGTTCCGGACAGGGAGGAGGGGGGAGGAGGAGGGGACCGGGGGACGCTGTGTGCACCTAGATAGCTCTCTCCTGTAGCATGCGGCGAACCATGGCAGATCGCCTCCTACGGTACCGTCTCGTAGACGTGCGACGAAGCGCTTCACACCGCTTCACACCGCTTCACACCGCTTCCGTGATTCCTTTTAACCATTGAGCTTTATCATCCAGGTCCCTTATGCGTCTTCGTGTACGCAGAATTATGCTTAACATAAGTCCGATCAGTGAGAGGAATTCTATCTCTTCTGCCATGTTTGACTGAATGGCTTTGTTTGGGTAAATGACGCATGTACGCCCGCCGCACTAGCCCCCCCCCCCCCCCCCCCCCCCCCCCCCCCACATCTTTTCCCTGCTGTGTGAAGGCAGCCGAAAGGACAAGTTCCAGTACAAAAGTGGTGTGTCTGAAAACACAGTTCTGGTTAAAAACCGAATTGAATTGTCCACACATATTCCAGAATGTCTATCTGAAAAGGGTTTCAGAAATAGTTATATGGTGCAACTTTCAGCCATTTATTAAGACACTGGGTGCAAAGACTTCCTAAAGGTTGGTACTGCTGCTATGAATGCATTAGATAAGAAATAAAAAAAAAACTACTAAAACATAATCAAACAGATTTGTGCTGACCAGCTGACCTGCTCTAAGGAAGTAGACCTAATACTGCCAAAATGCAAATAATTGCAGCGAGCCGCTAAATTCACAGCGGTGCGTGATCTACTGCACCTCTCCTCCAACTAGGACACGCAGCAGGATTCCAAATATCCCCCCAAAAAAGAGAGAATAAAAATGTAGCCACAGTGTTGCAGTGGCAGAAAATAAAACTAATGCTCTGCTGCATTTTGTGCTTTCTGCCTGAAGGAAAGTGGGGCTCAGACATCTATAGCATTGAGACAGTTTAAAAGTTGATAGTTCAACATTAGAACTTTTATGAAGGAAACTTATAAAATGTATCATTGATTCCTCCTTTTTTCTTAGTTTTTGCTAAACAAGACCTGAGCTTAAACTCCACATCTTACCTAAACTACACCCTTATTTTCTATCCATGTATTTATCAAGTAAATGCAAAAGTACTACAAAGTATTTTTGGGTAAAATACTGTCTGCCTAGAAGTATTCTCTCCCTAGAGGGGCTTGGCACCGTGTGAGTCATTGGGACTTGTAAAGGATTTTAATAACAGAAGAAGTTGTCTGATCCCAGCTGTTGTCAGCCTCCTGCGCTCAGATCAGCTCTTTAAACAGTGGCAGATCCCTCAATGCATACACTCAAAAAATGGAATGAGAATGTATCCAGACTCTGAAGAAGAACTGTGAGGACTTCTTGCTACGTTTTAATTAGATCCAAGTTTGACGGCTCTGGGAATAGGACGGCAGGTCCCCAGCACGCACCAAGTAGAACTATTCATCTTACTGTATTTTACCTAGAGTGTATAAAACCGACTGCAAACTAATGCAATCATCTGTGCAACGTCAAATCATCAATCCATTTCCTTCAAGCAGAACCACAAGGGCCGGCGTCGTTCATCAACCATGCTCCATACCCCTTAATAATGGATGACAAGTATTCCCAGGCAACAAAAATGAAAGTTTTTGATGAAAAGTACATGCGGCAGCAACCTCTACATCATTATTAAGTCACATTTACATACAGAATTTATGACTCACTGATCATTAAATTCTGACACAGATGACGGGGAAATCTGCAGTTTCTGTGAAAGTGTTTCAAACAAACTTCACAGCAGCTGATGTGAGAAGTTTTTACTCCACCTGTTGACTATGAAGGGTCTCAGTCATGGTGAAGCTAATGGGTTCACAGAAATGGAACTAGATCCATTTATTTGCTTAAAGTTATTTCAGAAATATCCATGGAACGTTCTTGGTTCAAACAGAGATGTTAAAGTGTGGCAGGATCTTCATTAAAGGGAGCTGACTCCCCCTGCCATCCCTTCTGAGGGCTGTTAGGGCTTCTGTTGGCCAGTGGCTTTGATTGTTTTATGAAAGAGTAAATCTGAGGAAACAACACGTTCTTACCACAGCTTAAAAGCTTGGTAATCTTCTTTTTCCTGTTCCAAATGCAAAAGCTCACCAAGAGAAAATAAAGTTCACTTGTTATCTGAGCTTACTAGGATTGTTCAGCTTAATTATCTAATATCACATTATAATTCAAATGTATCAATCAGCGTTTTCAGCTAAATGTCAAATATTTTTTGCAAATGCATTTCTTCACAAATTAGAAAAAAAAAAAACTCATGAACTAGAATTGTTTCCAAGAGTCTCTTTAAGTCACCTTTATGAGTGTTGTGCTGGACGATGTCCGTGGTAGTGTGGATAAACAAAAGAGAGGGTCTGGCAAATGGACAAGGTAGAGGACAAGTACCAGACTGGACCACAAGCTGTCGATCTACCTGGCATTCGTTCAAAGTCTGGATATTCCAGTACCAGGTCTGGTTGTAACTGTCACACATGCTCACACACACCTCCAATTGCTCAGCTATAGCATTATCAGCAGTCTGGCCTAGCATTAGCAGTAGCTCAGCTTAGCGTTGTGCAGTTAGCAAAACACAACCAGTGCTTATAGGGAGCCTAAATCTCCTCCCTTTCCAGTCAGCTCATTGGTCCCCAGAAGAACGAAAAAATTAATGCAAGTCAACGGGGCTAAAAACATTATCGAATCCGCTTAGCCTTGGGCCCTGGATCACACACATGTTGTACTGCAGTTTAAATGAAAACTAATGATGGGTGTTTCGACCATGCCAGTCACGTATTTTGAGATTTATCAGCTTGTGAAAGTTCATAATTACAAACCAGACATCGGCACGTTGCATATGTGACGTCACATGATCTCCTTTCCCCTAGCGTAGCTGCTATTCCCCACATGGCCAGATTTATGGTGGTTCTTTCCTCCTGAATGAAGGACTTGAAGTTTGCTGAACTTACAGCCATTTTCCCTCAGTTTTTCTCCGTGTCTGGTTCGATGACGTCACTTTCATGAAGTGCATTTGTAGTCCTGGACTTATTTTCACACAAATCCTAAAATAGTGTACCGCCCGTTCAAAAATAAGTGCTTTCTTGGTATCAAAATGCGTCTTTAAAATTCACAAACATCATGTGTGAAATCCATGGCACATAACAAGCGGAATTAGAAAATAGCGTTTTTAGCCCCATTGCATTCATTTTGTTCTTCTGGGGACCCATGGTCCGGAAGTAGATGGACCTGACTTAGGCTCCTTACATATTGCTGACACTGAAGTGGGTTGAGACATTCAAATCTAAGGGGGTGTGGCTTGCTTATAACATAATAAATCAGCTTTTCTCAGAACGAGCCATCTCTCTCTCTCTCTCTCTCTCTCTCTCTCTCTCTCTCTCTCTCTCTCTCTCTCTCTCTCTCTCTCTCTCTCTCTCTCTCTCTCTCTCTCTCTCCTCTCTCTCTCTCTCTCTCTCTCTCTCTCTCTCTCTCTCTCTCTCTCTCTCTCTCTCTCTCTCTCTCTCTCTCTCTCTCTCTCTCTCTCTCTCTCTCTCTCTCTCTCTCTCTCTCTCTCTCTCTCTCTCTCTCTCTCTCTCTCTCTCTCTCTCTCTCTCTCTCTCTCTCACCTTTTCAAGATTACTCATTTACAAAGAAAGCAGCCAAGATACTACAGTTCAGACGTTATGCTATGCTACATTTGACCACCCAAGCTGCCTTTATTCCACAAGGTGGTTTTAAATTCTACTGCCCTTAATGATTACCTCTAGTTGTTCTAGAGGTAATCGGACTGATAAAACGTAACTTGCTTACTAGAAAAGCTTCTATAGCAGGTCTTTGTCATAGCGGAAGGCCCTTTAACTTGCGCTAAACTTATTCTAACTGGCTGACTGGTCTGTATCGAAGTTTTTACTAAAAGGGAATGTCTACCTCCAAAAGCTTCTAATCTTAAATGGAATTGTTTTTCTATTCTCTGAATTTGTTTGAACAAACACGTATTCTGATTCAACCATATCAACAGGAAATAAACACAATTAATCCATCAATGAGAAGTTTATTTATACCAGGATGCAAAAAGGCACCATTCAGTGTGAATGTGGGCAGCCTCCGTTTATTAAACCAAAATCTGAGCCTTCTTAAATAAAACAGCTGAACCAGTGTGACATTTGTTGTCTGTGCACTTGACACGCTTGTTCTACAGAGGGAGTTTGGCAGAGGACCTACCTCCCACGAGATGACCAGTTCGTGCCTGCGGCCGTTCCCTCCACTAACATTTGACGGTGCTATGGCAGGAACTGTGAGAAAGGATTAGATTATTAACATTTCAGCACTTTCTTTAAAAAGTAACTGTGTGAAATGTTAAAAACTCATTTATTCTGTGCTTTTGTTAAACAAACCCAGATCAACCTTATTCCAGTGTTAAATGGAGGCATGTTGTTGACACTTGGCTCACGTTTTGTAGTTTTATGGGTAGATTAAATGTCTGTAGATACATTAATTAGTCTGTTAGTTATGCTGAAGAGATGGGGCAGATTATAAAAGCCTCTCTGAAATGACCACTGACCTTTGTAATTATATTTCAGGGAGGAAATGAACAGCTAGTGAAGCAGCAGGAGGAATTCCTGCTCACCATAAATACTGTATGATGTGTTGCCGCCTCCGGTCATCAGAGGACTTCAGCTCAATTTCAATTTTCTCCACAATTAATGCTGATTAGATTCACAATGATCAAGAGGTTGATGAGTGCAGTTTGAACTAGTTGATGTAAAAAACTGTATTTTTTTCCACCTCTTTATACAGACGCATGTCAAAATGGGAAATGCATTTCGTTTAAATTCAGCCTTCACCTGCTTCTTTGGTTCTGACTTTTCTAGATGGCGTACTGGGATCTCCCGTCCCGATAGCATTGCTGGCCACGACTCTAAACTCGTACTCCACCCAGGGGTTGAGCTCCACTGCCATGGCTGACTCCATGTCCCCCGTCACCGGATCTGGGTCTGCAGCAAAAAAATGTTTCTTTAGTTGATCAGAGAAAAATGGGAGAACAGTCTTTACCAAAAGGATCACAGACTTGAATCCAAACTTTGAGCTGTGAGCTTTACAGCGGTCCAATCCACAATAGCATCCCTAGTATGAATGTGTTGCCAAGGCAACCAGAGAGGCAAAGAGCATTTTCTGGCCAAACATTCAAAATTTCAAACCCAACTGCATTTTAGCAGCCAAAACGGCATCTGTGACTAAAGTGGCCACAGGATTTTAGCTGTGGTGTTTTCTTCTAACGCCAGCATCTCGCTGGGCTTCAGCTACTGGTCACTTTAAAGGCACCGACTTGAACTGGTGCAGTTTTACGTGTCACAATTATGTGAATGCAGAGTTCATGCACAATTCTTTGTCTCCATTTGGCGATAAATTGTCTTATTTAATTCATTCTTTTTTATTTATGAATTTGTTGCACTCAGAATGCTTCCATGATATCACCCAGAGGTGCCACGTGCTGAGAGGCAGGGTAAGCAATTGTTTGGGCCACAAGGGGGCCCAAGAGGGTCAACAAAACACAGGTCACCAACCTCTATTAAACTAGCCTCAAGTTTCAAAGTAAATATTTTATTACTGTGCCCTTGAGGAGGGAACCCTATCCTGGTTTTAAGCTTGCATGCTGCTTGTAATAATAATAATAATAATAATAATAATAATAATAATAGTGCATTGAACTTATACAGCGCTTTTCAAGACACCCAAAGATGCTTTCACACACTCTCACATTCACACACTGCTAGTGATGGTAAGCTACTTGTAGCCACAGCTGCCCTGGGGAGGTCTGACAGAGGTGAGGCTGCCATTTGGTGCCGTCGGCCCCTCTGACCACCACTAACACAGGCAAGTTGGGTGAAGTGTCTTGCCCAAGGACACAACAGCAGGATACCCCTGGCGGGAGCTAGAATCGAACCCATGACCCTCCGATCATGAGGCAACCCGCTCTACCACCTGAGCTACTGCTGCCCCAAGTTGTAGTTAGCCTTGATGCCCCCTAATGAAGACTCTGTGGCTCAATAAAGAAAAAGCTTCATAGTAAAGGCTTTAAAGGTGTGGAAAGTGTCCTGTGAGTCATACTCGATAGAAGACAATACATTCTATATGTTTTTTGTTACTGAGATGAACAGACTGTATTCTGCCACCTTGCAGGGTCTGTTGTTCAGAGGACGCCCTTTTGGGCCCAATTAAAGTGTACGAACAAATGACCTAGATGGTCGTTTGGACTGAGGGACTTATGGAACTGAGCAGGTGTTTTATTGCAAAAGGCCAGACTGAATTAAGTGAGCAGAAGCACTGGTAGGATAGGTCAATGGTTTCAGATTGTAGCCAACAGGCATTGGTTAACAATAACCTGTTATGTAAAGAGTTATTATTAAGTCTTATAATATCATGGATTTACTGTTTTCTGTTGTTCTTTTTTCTATCAAACTGTATTAAATGAATGCGAGCAGAACAACAAATACAATTTCTGTTATGTTTACACTCGCACGCAAAAACTGAGACACGATCCTTTAACCTCCGAGTTATCGTTTCATTTTCAATCAATCAAACCTTTATTTATAAAGCGCCTTCCACAACCCTGTCGGGAAGCCCAAGGCGCTGAACATAGTACATGAGAAAGTTCAATATGGTGAATAAATCGAAAATAAAAGCAATTCAAATTACAAATTACAAAATAAAACATTCTAGTAGAAGACAAATGGGTAAAACAAGGGATAGAGTGAACCAATGAAAACAGGGAAATAAAATCAACATAAAAGAGGGCCAAAGTCAAACACTTTCAGGAAACGCTAAGCCGAGGAGGTGGGTTTTTAGGCGACTCTTAAAGAGTTGCAGTAATCAAGCCTAGAAATTACAAATGCATGCAGTACCCGCTCTAGGTGGGCTCTTGACAGCATAGGCTTGATTTTTGCAAGGCGTCTCAGGTGAAAGAAACTGGACCGGATCACAGAGTTGATGTGAGCATCAAACTTAAGTCCAGCATCAATTTTCACCCCCAAACTGGTGACAACTGGTTTTGAGTAGGGAGAATGAGGGCCAAGATCAACATAACGACCCACAGCCCTGCTGTTGGGGTGAAAAACAATGAGCTCTGTCTTTCCCTCATTCAGTTGCAGAACGTTAGCCATTAGCCAAGACTTCACCTCGTTAAGACAGGACACAAAGGACTGGATAGAGTGACCTTTCTCCTGACACAATGGAGAGTAAGTCTGGTAATTGTCAGCATAGAGATGGAATGATAGGCCATGTTTACGAAAGATTGACCCCCAGAGGAAGCAGATAAATGGCAAACAAAAGAGGACCAAGGATCGATCCCTGCGGGACCCCCCAGCAGAGCCCCTCCCAAGAAGAAAAAAACATCACCCAGTTGTGGAGATACAATCTAAACCAATCCAGAGCAGACCCTTTAATCCCAACCCATCATTCCAAGCGATCGAGTAGAATCGCGTGGTCAACTGTGTCAAAGGCTGCCGTCAGATCTAACAACAGAAGCACCACAGATGTTCCCTGATCTAGTGATAGATAGATGTCATTTAGGACCCTCAGTAGAGCTGACTCTGTGCTATGGCCAGACTTGAACCCTTATTGGAAAACCTCAAACAGATCAGAGTCAGCTAAATGTGAGACCAGCTGCTGATAAACGACTTTCTCAAGCAGTTTTGATGTAAAAGGCAGGGTAGAGATAGGCCTGTAATTTGCGATCACAGAGACATCAGCACCAGGTTTCTTCAGGGTCGGCTGAATAACTGATGCTTTCAAAGCAGCTGGGACCACACCTGTGCTGAGGCTCCCATTGATAATCTGACCAAGTGAAGGGCCAAGACACAGAAAGGCAGCCTTCCAGAGACGAGGCGGCAGAACGTCAAGTGGAGAGCTGGATGGCTTCTGCCTTGCAACAAGCTTACTCAGCTCAGAGTATGAAACAGTATTGAGGGAGCTCAGGGTGGGTGGTGATGGAGGAACTGGAACAGGGTCAACAGAGTTACCAGAAATAGCTGCTCGAATGCCCGACACTTTTTCAACAAAGAATCTGTGAAAATCTTCAGAGTTTCCAGCAGCTGTAGGAGACATGAAGCTAGGCTCCTGATATACCAGAACAGAGTTTAGTGTTTTGTAGAGAATCTTGGGATTCTTGGAGTTTGTTTCAATTATGTCTGCAAAATAGGCAGTTCTAGCAGCCCTCACTGCATCCTGATAAGCAACCAGAGATGCTCTGAACAACTCACGCGAGACCTGTAGGCCATCCTTTTTTCACTTTCTCTCAGAGGATCTACACGCCCGCCTACAAGCATGTGTGACATCAGAGAGCCAAGGCTCCCTCCTAGGCCTAGACTTGCAAAGTTTGAGAGGGGCAACCACATCCAGGACCTGATTACAAAGTAAATCTAAGTGTTGTGAATGGTGATCAATGTTCGATGGATCTGGGTTAAGGGTCTCTAACCTTACAGACATACAGTCATTTTAAATTTAGTGAGCAGAAACATAAAAAAGGAAAACACATCCATTGTCTTTGTGCTTATTGACTACACATGCATTTATCCCCTCAGCAGATTCTTCGTGACTCCACAAATTTTCACACCAGGTGGTGACGATACAGAATTTACTGAAGGCTCAGTACATGACGTTTTGATGCATGAACAACTGCCTAATTGCAGCATCAGAGCACATAAAGAAGCACAAGTCGTTACCCGTTCTATCAATTCTGATGATTTCTGCAGAACTGAGTGACACAATAAATCACATCCAGACTGAAAATGTGATTTAAATGCATTTAAAGCAAAATCCCCAAATGGTAACTCAACCCAATCTGGCTCTTGTTTATTTATTTTTTTTTTTTACTTTTAGGACTTCCATAAAGAAGCTTTGTCAACAGTAGAAAATAAGCATTAACTGAATGCTTATCTGTGCCACAAATGAACCACAGGTCTCTGAGGCGGTGGAGCTTATGCTCTTAGCCAAAGCAGCCAACGAGACCACTCCGTCAAGCGAGCTACTCCTCAAACATGAGGCGATAGCTTTGTTTGCCAGGAGTAGAGGCTAAACACTCGGCCCCTTTTCTGCTAATCTGAACAAGTTCAACACTGAAAATACATCACTGGGCCCTAATTGTGCGTTATTTAATTAAAGGAGCAGACTTGATGTGAGAGGAGTGTATACAAAGTATGATTAATACATCTTTGGGGATGTATCATTATTGCACCTTAGTCTCTGCTGTTATCATCACATGGCATATTAGAATAGATTGCACACAAGCCCTCATCCATTAATGTTAAGTGATAGAAACCGATGGTTACTCTCTAAAGTCACAAAAAAAAGGAATCTAATTTATTTCTAAGATCTGAAACAGCTTTATAGTAAATGGATAAGTCTGATAATTAAAGTCCAAAAGGTTAATCTCGCATTAAGTGCTGATCTGACAGAGAATACGGTTCTAGTCAGTGACATTTGAAACAGTCTCATTCGTTTTTTTTCTTCTAAATTCTTGCGAACAATCCAAAAATGAGAGAATTTATATTTGTCCTTTTCAAATCTGAGGAGGAACGGTTTGTTTCTGAACAAGTCACGTCAGAAATGAGGTCTGTTCATTCTGGGTGACATTTAACACATGGTGATAATAATAATAATAAAAATATAAATCACCAAAAGACATTTTAATTATGTCGCTTGTTAACACCCCCCTCTCTAGCTGAGCTAACTCCATTTTTGTATATTACTTTGGGCGGGATTATGGTCCTTGTTTATGGGTCCACATTAAACTTTCTAAATCTGGAGGCTGCAATTTGCCTCTTATTGATTACCTGTTTTGACAGTTTGCCACCCTAATGAAAACGGGCTCCGGGCTTGTAAATTATAGGTGCTGATAGGGCTGTGGTTGTCAAGGCCACGAGTCCAAGACAGGGTTGCTGTGGTGTCTGTGATCTCCTCTACTATCACCACTCCAGGGGGTCCAGGAGGACCTGTTGGGGGGAATAATCAGAAGACATGGATCAAACTTAAAAACCAAGTTCACTCATTTTTTCAGCACATTTTCAGTGGTCTCTAAATGAATGCCTTGAGTCGAACTCTGTAGGGAAAAATCTCTGCTGCTCCTGTTTCAGGAAATGGAAGTGAACCGGAGCAGAAGGCGACAGGATTATGAGTCTTATTTCCTGAGATTCGAATATATGGCTAACATCAACACAACTTTTAACACTGACTCTGTTTGGTGTGCAATGTTGATATTTTATCTCCACAAAGAGCACAAGCCTGAAGGAGGTCTGCTGTGCTGTGGAGTTGCTGCTAACAGTTAGCTTTTACTAGCTAAGATGTGCTCTGCTCTCTCCTGGAGGCTAAATCAACATGTTGTGAATCAAGATGGGTGAATCCATGAATGCTAATTTTCAGTGTGACTTAAATCTGAGTGGCTTTTCTGATTCCAGCGTTTCCCCATCCATGTTTTATCAGCGGCTAATGCAGAAAATGGGTGTAGAAGAATATTTTCATGTTTAGCCTGCATGTTAAACATGGCATATCAAAAAATGACAAAAAAAGGTTCTATGTGAACATTGGAGAGGCAAAAGCTTCCAAAATGTCCGGTCAGGAAAATGTTTTAGAACCTGCTGGTTTCATGCAGCGTTCAAGAAAGAAGGTGAAGGTGTTTTAAGAGACAGTTATACAAGAAAGAAAAAAATGCATGATGGGCCTTCCTGTTTCTCAGTACAGCTGAACATATGTTTGCTTCAGTCCTCTGAGGTAAATGCAATCTTTAAGTGCAGCGAACATCGAAGGACTTCAGGGTGAACAGATGTGACGGAGAAGCTGGCAGGTGACACCCTCGGTAAAAAACTCACCGTTCCCCTAACTGGTTCCTATAAGAAAGCTGCAGAGAAAGTCGTGTTGGCAATTTATGATGCCGACAAAGTGTAAACAGTTGTAGCATGCATCCAGCTGAAGTGCTAAAAAGGGAGTTTTTGAGAGCAGTTTTGGAACTGCATCACTTACTTGGTGACAATCTTAGCATTTTAGCTTGTTAGCCTAAACTAATATTGTGCTGTGATTTTCCAGTTTTAAACAAAAACTAAACTAGACTGAGATGTTTGAATATTTAATGATGCCTATTTTGGACTATGATCCAAAATGGGCACTGTTTGTTTCACTTACACATTTCTTAAACAACCACTAGGTGGTGAAAATGTGCAGAATTTATTTGTTTATTTAGTGCCAAGTAGTTTCCTGAGTTCCACAGAGGTTTCGCATGCCACAGGAACAACTTAATACCGCATTTCTAATGTTTTACTGTAGGTGTTTTTTTTCAAGATGACAATAAATGTCAGTCCTTATGAGGTATATCCTGTCCCCTTTTGTATATGTAGAGATGCACACATACCTCTTTCAGAATTTTCCTTTTTTTCCCATCTCCTGTGGATTTTAGACTTCCTTTAGAAAATGCCGTTTTCTCTGGCTGTTGTGTTTGTTTTCCTTTTTATTGGAGTCTATTTCTGAGCCTGCTTGTTGAAAGGAAAAATAAAGCACAATCTCTTTAATCTTGGTTCACTCTGAGATTTCAGCAGCAAACCTGCAGTAACAAGCAAATACTTTAGGCCGAAGGGTTGAATAAAGATAAGTTAAATAAGTACGCCAGAATTTTAGTATCATTTTCTCCATGGAATTTGTCCACACAAGAAAAAAACAATTAGCCATGCTTATTCTTTATTTCCCACACTTGGGTTAATGTGGTGTAATGTAAAATGTCTAAATATTTATTGTTAAGTAGTTATCTTTTAATATTAACTCACTTCCTTCCATTGATGACTAGTCGTCGACTGCATTTTTCAACAGGGCGAGTGTGGGAATGAGGCCCCGCACAGTGAGAATAAACATTACGTCTAAAGCTGATCCTCATCTGTGTGTGTCCCACATCATGTGATCAGGAAGCAGAAAACCCAAGTATTGGGAGGCGCCAACCAGAAAAGCTTCTGCTGCTCACACGTCGACAACGGACTGTGAAAGTCATGAGAAGCAGGTCAGATATTATTGGAAACCTTTAATTCTTTTCACTATATATATGCTTCCAATTGGTAAAATCATTAGACAGCATGGGATAAACGTCCACTGCTATGCTGACGATACTCAGTTATATCTATCCATTAACTTGATTAACCTAATCGGTTAGTTAGATTACAGGCTTGTCTTAAAGACATAAAAAAAATTGGATCACTCAAAACTCTCTGCTTTTAAATCAAGACAAGAATGAAGTTCTCATCTTTGGACCTGAAATTCAGAAAAGGAAATTGCTTAGTCAATCACCTGACCTGAATGGCATTAAATTAGTCTCTGAGAACAAAGTAAGGAACCTTGGTGTTATCTTTGACCAGGACATGTCATTTAAATCCCATGTTAAACAGGTCTGTAGGATTTCCTTTTTCCACCTTTGGAATATTGCTAAGATTAGAAGCATCCTTTCCAGGAGTGATGCTGAAAAACTAGTTCATGCATTTACTACATCAAGACTGGATTACTGTAATTCATTACTCTCAGAAAGTCCACAGAATGTAGTTAAAAGTCTTCAGCTTGTCCAAAAACGCTGCTGCTAGAGTTCTGATGAGAAATAAAAAGAGAGATCATATCTGTCCTGTCTTAGCTTCCCTAAATTTGTTGCCTGTTAAATTCAGAATAGATTTTAAGATCCTCCTTCTCACATGTAAAGCTCTTCATAATCAAGCTCCATCATACATCAGTGACGTGATTGTTCCATACGTTCCTAACCAAGCACTTTGTTCTCAGACTGCAGGTTTACTGGTGGTTCCCAAAATATCTAAAAATAGGACGGGAGGCAGATCTTTTAGCTATCAGGCTCCTCTCCTGTGGAACCAGCTCCCAGCTTTAGTCCGTGAGGCAGACACCTTGTCTACTTTTAAAACTAGGCTTAAACATTTTTATTTGATAGGGCCTATGGTTAAAATCTGATGTTAGCTCTGATCTGGACAAGAAGAAGAAGGAGAAGGAGAAGAAGAAATCATTTCTATGGCACCTCTCAAGATAAAAACCACGAGGCACTTCACAAAAACAAAAAATGTAAAAATATAAAAATTATTTAGAAAATGGTTAAAAATATACTTAAAATGAGCAAAAACAGACTATTGTGATTTAAAAAATGTTAAGGAAGAGAGTGAATAGGAAAGAGGGAAATCAGTGGATCCTGAGGAAGGTGGAATAGGTGGGGAGAGCAGAATAAAGAGAGAGTGGTGAAGAAGTTCATGCAAAAACCAGCTTGAACAGGTGAGTTTTCAGCTGCTTGATTAAGGAGACCACTGAGTCCACTGATCTCAGGCTCAGTGGGAGAGAGCTCCAGAGTCTGGGGGCCACAGCAGCAAATGATCTGTCACCTTTGGTCTTTAGCCTGGTGCGCTGCACAACCAGTAGGCTTTGATCACTGAACCTCAGGGACCTGCTGGGTGTGTAGGCACTGAGAAGATCACCAATGTGTGGTGGTGCTTGTCCATGTAAGGCCCTAAAGACCAGAATCAGGATCTTGAAATGAACCCTGACGTTGATTGGCAGCCAGTGAAGCTGGAGGAGAAGCGGGGTGATGTGGGTGTGTTTGGAGGACTTGGTCAGAAGCCGAGCACAGGCGTTCAGAACCACCTGTAGATGGTTCACAGAGGTTTTGCTCAGACACGTGAAAAGAGAGTTACAGTAATCTAAGCGTGAGGAGATGAAGGTGTGGATAACTGTCTCAAGTTCAGAGCGAGACAGAATGGGACTCAGCTTAGCAATGTTCCTGAGATGGAAGAAGGAAGAGCGAACAAGAGAACTGACATTTGAATCCAGGGTGTCAGCTGGGTCAAAGGTCACGCCAAGATTCCTAATGGAAGGTTTAGTGTGAGAAGCAAGCTGACCAAGAGAGTCTCTGACTTTGGGAACCAGCATGTCTGGGGCACAGATGAGGATCTCAGTCTTATCTTCATTCAGCTGTAGAAAGCTCCCAGCCATCAAGGTTTTGAGAGGGTATAAGCAGGTGTGTAACAGCTGCAGCTTAGACATCTCATGGGGCTTAAAGGAGATGTACAGTTGGATGTCATCTGCATAAAGATGGTAGGAGATTCCTTTGAAGGAGCTCAGGATGTGCTGAAGAGGAAGCAGATAGAGGAGGAAGAGCAGAGACCCCAACACAGAACCTTGTGGGACACCATGGGTAAGGGAGGTGGTGGAGGACCAAAACTTGGAGATGGCCACAAGTGGGGGAGTAGAGGGAGGTGGAGTGTACAGTCGGTAAAGACGACTCTCCCTTGCCTGGTCGCCAACATGCCTCCATCTAAAACCTCTGATTTTATTGAACTGTTTCTCTCTTTGTTTTTTCTTGTTTGGGTTTTATTATTGTTTTATTGTATTTTATTACGTGTTTTGTGTAAAGTGACCTTGGGTGTCCTGAAAGGCGCTTTGAAATAAAATGTATTATTATTATTATTATTATTATTATAAAAGGCTAGGTTATCCAGAGTTATCTCTGTAGTTATGCTGCTATAGGCTTAGACTGCTGGAGGATACACTGACCACTTTCCACACTCTACTACTTTGTTCTACAATCTGCTCTTTAACTGTATTATTTCCTGCTATTTCAGCTTTTAACTTTATTTTTTTCTCTAAGGGTTTTTCTCCCCAGAAGAAGCTACAATGATGTTCCGCTGAGCTGTGGTGGCCTCATGGAGGGGGCCATTGGCTTGAACACTGTTGCTAACCACTTAAACATTCTCCCTCTCCTGATAATAACATTTTACTTTCTTGACATTTGATGTGCTACTACTAGTTTACCCATTTAATTATAGACTCACTAGGATAAATACAATAAAGTTTATCTCTCACCAAATAGAATATTTACTAAGAAATCACAATGTAACCATAGAAACATTACTTGGCACATATGCTGTGTGTGTGCATGTGCATGTGTGTGTGTGTGTGCGCGTGCTCTGTCTTCTCGATCCCCAGTGAGTCGTGGCAGATGGCTGCTTATACTGAGCCAGGATCCTCTGGCGGTTTCTTCCTGTTTAAAGGGAGTTTTCCTCTCCACTGTCGCTAAATGCTTGCTTAGTATGAGGATTGCTGTAAAAACTCTGACCCCAGTCAGTGACTTGATGCAATTTGCTGTGTTCCTTATATAGGAAACTTTTTTCTGATTGGCTTAATGAACTGACCTCTATTGGAATGTTTACTAAGTGAAGTGCCTTGAGACGACTCATCATGATTTGGCGCTATAGAAATAAACTTGAATGGAATTGAATACAATTATAGTTTTAAATTGTTTTTTCGTGCAGTTAAAAAAAATTGCTTAATTGAACAAATTCAAGAACAAAAACTGTTATTTGTTACAGCAGAAGTAAGAACTGATGCCAATATTTTACAAATTTTACTGACCTACTTGTACAATCTCTGGTTTTTCATCGTTCATTCAAAAGTAATTGTGTATGAGGAGGCCGTGTTGATTATGCTTGCGGGGCGTGAGTGTGTGTATCTGATATCTGACGAGTGTGCCTAACAGCAAACATGCACTTAAAGAGAACGAGCCTACCTCGCACAAGAAGTTCAGCCTCTGTGAGCACAGTGTCAGCGCTGGTCTGAGCTCTGCAGCCGTACTTCCCAGCATGCTTCAACAAAATGCTTCTAATCATCAGGTCCACTGTCGAGACCTGCTGCAGTTGGGAAAGGGAAAGCACAGAGAAAAAAGAAGTAAGGCATCAAATGAGTGTGACACAAGAAGTGTGATTCCATTACAACTTGTAAAGGCTCATGCGGCTTGAGAAATTCCTGTTTAATTCAGGTGCTTGCCTGGTGTTACATTCTTCAGCTACTGGTATTTTCTCGCTGCTGAAATGAGAAAGGCCTCCGGCAAGACTGGGAATAATCCAAGGTCTACAGGCAGCTGTTTAGCACAAAACCTGATTAAAATTACAAACCATCCTTCAGCCTGGCCGCTGTTTGCCTGTGAAGGATTGTCACTGCAAATACTTCCTCTCTGGACCTCAGCAAAGACGTCAGTTTGCTTGATAAAGAAGCAACTACATAAACATTAGCATTTAACCTCCTTAATAAGGTTTGTCATTTTTTAGGTTTTTGTGGTCAGAAGTAAATCTAATCTGTTGATTTTTAATTAAAATAATTTACAATTACAGTCAAAAAGCAAGAGAGGATAAGAGTTCTCAAAGAATTCTGCAGAACAAACAGAAAATAAAAACTCATGATATAAATGAAAAGGAAGTGTTGAAAAAACTTTTGAGGATGTAAAATAATTTGCCTTTTGAGGTAAAATTCTTCTTGGGATTCTATCTTAACCCAAGAGAATGAGCTTATCTTTGATTGCTGAGATTTAAAGATTTCATCTCGTCATACATCCAAGAGTATTTTTTTGCAGCACAGATACTCGAAACAATCATTTATGGTTATTCTAACACAGGTTTATTAGATTTAAGTAAATATCAGTTTTCACTTTATTTTTTCAAACAGATGACTAAAATTTGGACTATGATGTGGATTTATTTGTAATATTTCTTGTTTGACAAGCTTCTGTGGAGTCTTGTTTCCCAGGGTTTGGATTAACACATGAATAGTCATGTTGTCACTGTAACATTTGGATCATGCAACAAATGCATGAGCAGTTACATGACGTTTTCTGAAACTTTTATTTAGTACAAACTTTGAATTTGGACTAAATAAAGTGTAGTTCAAATTTCCAAATGAAATGAATACTTCAGCATTTTTTCAATGTGTGAAAGCTCTGCCACATTTATGTCCAGAAGGTGCAATCATTCAGGGTTAGAAGAACCTCTGATTTGCTATCCGCATGCATTCCCCCGTGTTGTTTTATTCATCTTGACTGTTAAAGTAGCTCTGATTGGTGTTGTTATGGCTCGTTCCATACCTCCTGATTACTGTTTCCACTGATTTGCACTTGTTCAGATTTTTATAGAGTCTGACTTGAACTTAGGCGGAGGAATGACGATGGCATGCAAACCTGCAAGCCAGTGCCGTGTCCAGGCCTTTTAAAGTGGGTTGGCCCAGGTGGGGCACTTGTTTATGCATGGGTGGCCCATTGTGATCTTTTTAAATTATTTATTTATACTCTTTGTGATTTTCGTGACAGCGTCATTGTGCATTGACCAATTTCTTCTTCTCCTTCTATTGGACAGCAGTAGCTCGAGAGGTAGAGCGGGTTGTCCAGTAATCAGAAGGTTGCACGTTCGATGGGGGACGTGGGACGGCGATCCTAAATACAATTTATGTCAATGTGAAAAAATAATACAGAGCTTTTCTGTGTGTGGCAAGGTGGAGAAACGAGGGCCTGGGCGGGATTCGACCCCTAGAATCAGTCAGCCAAAAGGACATCCCTGTGAACAAGTAGTGAGGGTGCATGATCAATCGGGAAACAGTGACAGGACGCTCACCCTGTCACATTACGCCTGAGGCTGGAACCAATGTTAAAGGTACATTCTGCCACCTACTGTTTTAGCGTCAGTCATTTTGATGGCACGTGCTACCCCAGGCCACCCCAACATTTTCAAACGGTTACACCTTTTAGATAAAAAGGTTAACATCCAATTATGCCCTACTTTATTTTACTTTGAGCAACATTTTCCTTTCCTTCAAAGCCACAATCAAGTGATGATTATCAGTTTTGTGATTTTCTGTTTTCAGGAGAAAAATAAGGTGTATGTTAGAACATTTAGCACCGTGAAATAAAAGTTTTGTTCTTTTCATAAAAGCTGAATCATGCATCCTGATCACATTTAGTACACGAGTCGGTCTTGTGTCACAACTCTTAGGATGCTTACATTTAAACAGAACAATTAGACTGATCAACTAGACAACAAAAATGTTATTAAAGAAAACAAAAATATTAAAACACAAGCTGACCCATTCAACAAGATAAAAAGCCAAAAAAATCAGACTGTTTAAACTTAACAGATATGTGCATGGTTAAACATGCACAAATGCTGACAAAGACTATAAAGCGAATAGGTTGTGCTCTTACTCTTGATCTTACTGTTTGGATGTATTCGAAGTGGCTGCCATCCTGCTGGAAGTCGATGGGTTTCTGGTTGAAGAACCACTGAAAAGCCACGTCCAGCGACGTGTCATGAGTCGCCTTGCAGCTCAGCACCACGCTCTCCCCCACGGTGACCTCCACTCTGCTCGGACTCAGCACCACACGCATGGCCTCTGGAAGCACAAAACTGCTGCACTGTCACCTCAGGCTTACCCAAAGTGAGCGTCAAGCAGCTTCCTGTAATTGCACCGTCAGGGCCAGAGCAGCGTTCAGGAACTTGGGCTAAAAACTTTGGCAAAAGGACTCTGATCCGGTCAGTGTTCCAGTGCATCCGCGCGCGAGACCGTTGCACTGTTAAAGTCTGCCCTTGTAATGTGATTCTTGAATGTGAAAATGCCTTCTTCACGGCTGATCAGGCATAATAAATTTCCTGGCACCCAAGGAATGGTGGGGGGGTAAAATGACATTGGGGACTGTTTACTGGAGGCTGACTTGTGCTAATTTGGCAGAAAATAAAGGCCTCCAGGGCATCACTTACCTTTTACCCACAGTATGGCAGTCATCTCTGCTGAGCCCAACTGATTCTCCGCCCGGCACACATAGTTCCCTTCATCCGCTCGGCTGGAGTTAACAATTTTCAAAGTGTTGTTCCGTAACAGCGTAATCCTGTAAGAAAGGACACAAAAATCAATGCTAGTATGAGAATGAAGTTCATCTACCACCAGCTGCACATACGAGTTTAGGCATTAGGTCATGTGTTTGCTCGTGGAGAGCAATTTTTAGATCCTACCTTGATGCTTTCTTTAAATCATCATTTTTTGCAAACGTGCTTGGATACAAATTGTTAAATCACTCCTAAAATGAATGAATCTTTCTTGTTTGGCACAAAGATTTCTTGTTCATTCAACTTAATTGAAGGAATTAGGGAAGGTGTGCGTTAAATAGAATTTGCAATTCAAATGTGAACAAAATCACTTAGTTTTTTTTAATTAAACCGTCGATTTTCACTGAAAGTGTTTCTCACTGTGAGTTCTTTCATCATTTTAACCCTTAAGATTTGCAACAGTTTAAACCTACCTACCCAGTTACTCTACATACGTATTTCATGAGCATTTTTTAACTCAGAAGTACCCCTGAAGGACTTAGTTGTTCGTCCTTTTATCAAAACTTATTTTGAGCCTGAGATAGTTAACATTCACATGCAAAATAATCCATAAAGTTGCCAAATGACTCAGAAATCCAAGTCTGATCTATACATGTCTGCAAACAGTGTTTCTGCTGTCTGTTGAGCTGTCTTTTACCTGCCAGGTGAGAGAAAAAAAATTTAATTTCATGCCTTTTTATTTTTTTTTATCAGTTTAAATGCAGAATATGACAGAAGACAACTGGCACACCAGGCCAAAGTGGGGGACAATATTGCTGTGTGAGCTGCCATTTTGGATGATAGTTTGAGCACAAATTGGGTCTTATAACACCTAACTTATCCCAGCCCTCCTAAATACACTTTGCAGACATCCAATTTACCAAACCATTGTGCACAGGGATCATGTCAGCTTCCAGCAGGCCAACATTGTTAAGAAATGATTTGCTGTGTGCGAAATGATATCAGTGGAGTGTTTTCTACCATTCCCTGAATCTTGTGGAACTGTTATTTTCAGTATGGAGGTGGGAAAGCAAACAACCATCAGCCACAAGAACAGACACTTCCATCAGACGTCCTGGATGTTGCTTGTGAAGACATCACAGATAATTACTGGAAGGGCCGGCTGTGCCTACAAAATAAGGTTTTTTTCCCCCTTGAGGCATCCAAAAGGAAAACACCAGATGTTTTCATTAAAAAAAAAAAACAAATAAAAAAAATGGCCAAAAAAGCAACAGGATGTCCAACAAGCACGCTGTGGAAGGGGGACATTTTCCTGTTTTCCTCACACACACACACACACACGCACACGCACACGCACACGCACACACACACACACACACACACACACACACACACACACACACACACACACACAAATAAATAAATAAATAAAAACCCACAAAAAATGAGTTTTATTTTATTTTTTTTCCAAACATGTCTTCTTGTGCAATTTTCCCCTTCAATGCACATGACTTAACATGGATCAAATGGAAATTTTCAGTTTCTGCATTGCTTCACAAATGCGTAACCCTTTTTCTGCGTGCAACAGTTTTACGCTGAACGAACCGTTCCTCGTGTGTTTTTACCGAAAACGGCTGAGAGTGACAAACAAAAAGAATTCAATGGAGGGTTAAAAATTGATTTTGTTCAACAGAATGCTGAACAAGGGGCTGCTTTAGTAAATAAATAAATAAAAATAAGATGTGACCAGTGCAGAATTGGAATAAATTATACAATCTAACATAGTTTTAAGTGGAAAATAATCATTTGGCTGACATGTAAAAGGCTTCTGATGTCCTACATATGCATTGTGTGCAATGCACTCACATTTTAGAGAGTCTGTAATGGATTTGATGATACCATTAAATAGCTTCAGTGTGGACAAAAGTAAACGGATGCTTTCAAAGAAACAGTAAGGAGCAGCGGCTAAAGAAAAGTGTCACAGAGGTTTGCAGAACACAGCAACAAGCACTCCTTGTGTTTCTGTGTACAAAGTCCAAAGCTCCACCGTATCTGATCTTAAGCCTTTCAAAGATCACAATAGGCTGCGATTTGAATAATTACAGTATAATTTAAAAATCATCAAAGGAAATTTCCAGTACAACATTTGAGGAGAACAGTACACAATGGGAAATAAAATAGTTGTTAGGATTCTTTGTTCCTCTGCATCAGAATTTGCATAAATCTAAATAAACAGAGCTTTCATCTTGCACGGCACTCATAAATCTACCTGACGAAGCCTAAATGTTGCCGCATTCAATGAATTTAAAGGAAAAGAAAATCTGTCAAAGTCTGATGTGCGTATCACCAGGCAGTTCTCCAAGGAACGCAAGTGTAACAGAGAAGAAAAACAAACTCGCAAACACCACTCCTGCATTCTTAAGTAGTCCCTTATCCAGCTGAAGGACACAACCAACACTAATATTTAGCTCTGAGTTGTACCAGCTGGGGAATTGAGTGCTTGACACATGATGGTACCAATCAAAGTTCAACCAACAAACCTGCAGAAGTGTGAGCAACTGGGTATACTGAGTTAAAATAAGATACTCAAAACAACTTTGTTTCTGAACAAGAGAATCAGATTTTAATTGTTCATCAAGCATCAACACACTTGGATTCAGTCAGCCTTGGTTTCATTAGCTTTGGCTCATCACAATGAATGTATAGCATGATTTAATTCTTATTGCCGTTTCATCTGCAGCCACTCTCTCATGTGGGCGTTCCCCAAGGGTCTATTTTGGGTCCTATTCACTTCCTTTACCTTTGGAGTCCATGTACAGGTAACTAATATGCAGAGATGTGACCAAGTCCCTGCTTTGCAAATCACAAGTAAGTCACAAGTCTTTCCAGTCAAGTCTCGAGTCAAGTCCAAGTCAAAGACAACCAAATCCAAGTCGAGTCCAAAGTCAATGATGTGGAAGTCCAAGTCAAGTCCAAGTTCTTAACTTTGAATTTTCATGTCATAATCAAGTCATCTGTCCAACTTCAATTTAATGACAATGATAATGTAAATAAATTCCAGAATTAAAGCTTCTTAAAGCTTCATTTATTTGCTCAAACAAGCAGAACGTGCAACTGAAACTGATTGTAAACAAAGTGTTGCTGCATTTAGCAGTAAATCAAACCCAGAACAAAGAATATGCTCAAATCATCTTCAAGTCAACAAATGCAAGTCAATTCAAGTCACAAGTCATTGGCATTCAATTCAGCCAATTCGCAAGTCTTAATAAGTTTTATCAAGTCAAGTCAGAAGTCATTAAAATAATGACTCAAGTATGACTTGAGGCCAAGTCATGTGACTCGAGTCCACACCTCTGCTAATATTGTCTGTTTCTATGCTAATGTTCTGTCAGCCTTTTGAGTTAGTAATCTATTGCAATGTCAAAGTTAAATATGAACATGGATGAATGTAGGATTAAAGTTTTTAGAACAGTCTAAACTCCTAAGTTCATTCGGTACTCTTAGTCCTTTGATTCCATGAAAGTGTCATGAGAATCTGGGTGTGATTTCTGAAGATTAATCCTAAAATGAAGCCAGATCATCTTCATTTCATTTATCCATCCATTTAGGTCTGCTTATTCGAAGTTGCATGACGTAGGCAGCAATCTAAGCAGACAGGCCCAGACTTTCATCTCCCCAGCCACTTAACCCAAATCATTCCAAGGCATCCCAGCATTCCAACCAGTCGCATTGATTTATTTTTGAGTCTTTTTTTTTTTACTTCCATAGGGCTATTTCAGTCGGTACTAATGATACATGCTCTTGTATAGCACATTTCAGAGTCAGAGGATTCCAAAGCACTTTACACTACAGTGAATATTTCATCCAGGAACACACACATTCACACACTGGTGAAGCCACACCTGCCCTGGGGCACATCGACAGAGGTACCGCCAGTCCCTTTGAACACCACTAGCATGCAAGAACTCTAAAGATTTTCCCAAATCTTTGCTTAAATTTCATCATATGCATTTATTTTTAAAAGTGACGCATAGACACATTTAACATTTACATTTAACAGGTTCACAGAGCTCAGAATATGTAATTTTGACCTTTCTTTCGTCACGATTGAACACTGCGCTCTAAGAAGGGGGAAAGGGAAACCTAGGGCCACAGTGTGCTGAGCTATAGCGTCAGATTGAAATCAAACCACAACCATTTCGGTTTAACGGCAACTGAGGCGGCTGCACAGATTCAGTTTAATCAAGAAATCAATTTCATTCAACATCAAACAGTGCAAATAATAAGGGGTGTGAGACTTTTTTGATTTAATTCATTGTTATTATTGTTACATTATTGTTTGGCATTTATGCATCGAGTATTGAGCTCCTTTATCACCGGCAAGGTGATTGAAAATGGCAACGAGAGACTTGTGAGGGTGTGACAAAATCTACCTACACGTAGACAGTTCGGCAGCCATCCACAGCCAGGAGACATTTTTTAAATTAGGGAGGAAATTCACATGCGACAAGGACGCTGAGGCAGAAAGGACAAGATAGGGACTGCTGGGTATACAGAATATGCAAATCAATTCAACCTTAGGAGAACTGGAGGAAACAGTCAAATATCACAGAAAACCTTTACTTCGTGACAGACTTTTCAGGTGAAATCAAACAGACTGCATAGTAATAATCACTTGTATGCAAAATCAGTAATCTTTAAGTAATTCCATAAAAAAGGGACAATTTTATAAAATAAAAAAAAGTTCAGTTGCCGTTTCATATGAAGATGTTTCTTTTAAATGAGTCTGCCACATACTCACAAACTAATGGGATTAATACCTTCTATTTAAGAGACAAAAGCCCTGAACATTACTGGAAATCCATGGTAATTACAAACCTTCATTAAGTCAGCACAGCTGTCAATGCCAGATAAACGTGAGGCAGCTTCGATTCCCCTTCTTGTTCCTTCAAGAATACGTCTCTCCATCCATAGACTCTTTACTATAGATAATGGCAGAAAATCCTTGCAGAAGTCACCCTGACCAAGACCTTAAAATGCACGACTCTTCTTCTTTGTTTCAGTCATTTCAGATTACTATCACCCTTTCACAAGGTTGATCTCCATTTAAACGCCAACTCTCCTAAACATGGTGTCAACCAGTTCATTACCTCACTAAGATTCCCAGAAGTTGCGAAGGACAGCCTATTAAGCGGTGTCAAATCCTAACAGGATTTTACTTTCAGATAATAAAAGCGCTTTAGCACTTTATATGGCATCCCAAGTTTTTATGTCTTGACTGAGATTATGGAGAAAATGAAGAGCAAATCTGTGATTTAGCCACTTAAAAGGGAAAGATGGAGAGCTCTGTGGCGAGAAATGAACTGATTGTTTTGTCAATATGTGTTGTTGGTGTTTTCAGGCTCTTTTAAAGAAACACTTAATCTAAGTTCAGCACTAAAAGAGCATCACAGAAGGTCACAAAAAGAATGAAGCTCTCTGCAATGTGTGCTGAAAGATCTTAAAAAGTACACTTTCAAATCCAACGAATATCCTGGGACCTCTTCACTATGAACGATGACCGTGCTATGCTCCTCATGGCCTATGTGACCTTAGAGAATGTGGCCGGATCATGGCTGAGTTGAGAAACCTCCTTCAGTGTGGGCAACCGTGCTGCTGCTCTCCGAGTACTCACTACATACAGTTTTTCCTGCATTCTCAAGATGCTGTCCTGTACTGATATCATGCTTTATACATCAGAAGGAAGTCCCCCTGACAACACTAAAATAGACATTGAATCTCCGGTTGTCTTTGAAACTGGCTCTGCCTGCTATTGGACAACAAATAACATACCAACCGTACAGATGTCAATCTGTAATACACTGTCGAAGAAGATGCAAAAACATTTGTGCTTAGCTAGCACAATGCTACCACTTGACAGCAGTTGTATCCTATGAATTAACAAGATTGACTTCAATCTCACCTGGTACCTTCTCAAGCTTATCATGAGACTTCAACGCATTCCCAAGGCAGCAGAGAGATGTAAACTCTCTAGCAGGGACTGCCCCAGGGTCTACTCCCTGGGACAGATGTCCCAAAACCCAGTCTGCCATTACATCATGGAAAAAGATATAAAACATAAAAAAAAAACATAAAACAATACATTGTTTTTCTAAATAAACGTGCTGTGATTGGCCAGCCACAATACAGGTTCCAATGGAGCGTTGCCAGGCCGACTTACAAAGTAAAATCTTTTGACTTCAGTAAATGACGGTCTAGATTCTAGAATACGATTTCGATGCAAACGAGCAGAAAGTTTAGCCTTTCTGTGGAGAAAACTCTGTATGGCTCATACTGGCATAGCACCGGTATGCAAAGAGGAGTAGCGGCAAAGGAGCTGGTAAACATGTATTATTGCATCTACACTCCACTTATGAGCAATATTGAATATTCACCTGAAAGCCTCTTCAAGAACCCTGAAGACAATCCAAAATCTGGAATTTTTAATGACAGCATCAAAAAAGAACGAGATCCTATAAGGCAGTCACAACCATGAATCACCTTTTAGGGTGATTTTCTGAGTCAAAACTAGACCAAACAGTCCTCCATCCACCTGTTGGAGGCATGGATATTTGTAGCTGCCTGTTTGAAGGAGCCACACACTCTGAAGATCTGATTAGCTGCCCTTGCCACGAGGCTGCTGAGCAGACTGCTAAATCTCGTCTAATAAACAAATGCCCTATTCTCTTGCTCAAACCTCAGGATCCTCAGCAGTAAGTAATAATTTCAGCTGCATCGCTCAGTTTGATTGATGGGCCCTCGCCCTGTTCAACCCCCTCCAGGTGCACTGGAGAGATGATTCTCATAAAAGATAATGCATCAAACTGTATGTGAATTCCAAATGCAATTGCAGTGTCTAAATTGTCAGCATTCTAGAAGAGGAAGCAGGTTAAGTATGAGCCTCCAAAGCTTTGCCAGGACCTATGATGTTTTATTTTAGAAGTGACACTTAATTTCAGAAACGGTAATAAAATTGAGATGTGCTACAACAAGACACAGTCCCTCAAAGGCCTGGGCGAGAATGATAACAGAGGGATTCAAGCCATAAAGCTATAAGAAATAATAAAGATGTAGTGGCAGACAAACTTTTTATTATTATAACCATATTTTAATGGACAGTTAGGTCTGGTTCTGTCCCACTTTTATGCTGCATGATGGAGAAAATTCTGACATGATTTAAGAAAAACTGTAAATTTATTTCAACCGTAAGACCCATGCATAAAAGCATCAACAAATGACTCGTCAAACCATCCAACCTGTTTATACTCTCATTGCATGCTAACGGAACTAATATAAAATAAGTTTTATGTGTTCATTTTAATTTTCCATAAGTTATTCCAGCATGCAGGCTTAAGCATTGATTTTATATACTGTGCAAAAGTAAAAGTTCATTAGACTGTTAACCTGTATTTATTATCCCTGGCTAGACAGAAACACTGCAGGGATACACATCATGCAGCATGATGCTATAAATCCAGCACTTGTGGTTATTAAGCGCTAAAGGTCTGAGCACTGTAACATCTGGAATCATCTGTTAGCCTTTGCGTCAGCCATCATCTGTCTTCCCACAGTCAGTGGTGTGCGCAGGCTTTGCAAAATGGGCTGGCCCAGGTGGGGAACTTGTATGAGTGGCACCAAAGGTTATGTTATTACTTATTTATTAGCTTTTTTTGTTTTTGTTTTTTTATGAGAGGGGGTCCACACCACACAGAATCATTCTTTAAAATAAAGTATTTCAGTGTGTTAGTTTTTTGAAGGGTAGCAGTAATCGGAAGGTTGTAGGTTCGATCCCGGCTCCGGACAGAGAATTCTGCTGTTGTGTCCTTGGGCAAGACACTTAACCCACCTTGCCTGCTGGTGGTGGTCGGAGGGACTGGTGGTGCCTGTGCTCGGCAGCCTCGCCTCTGTCATTGCGCCCCAGGGCAGCTGTGGCTGCATCGTAGCTCATCACCACCAGTGTGTGAACGTGTGTGTGAATGGATGAACGATACACTGTAGTGTAAAGTGCTTTGGAGTTCTTACTCTGAGAGGCGCTATACAAGTGCGGATCATTTATCATCATTTTATCGTTCTAGTGAATTTGAGTTTCACGTTGAGCCATGACCCTTTTTCTTCTTCTTCCTCTTTAAGCTTTTTAGCAAGCTACTTCCTGTTGCATTGCTGCCACCTGCTGTTTTGGGGTTTACAACTCCAAGCCTTTTGTGGACAATGTAAAGTAGATTTAAATGGAACTAAGTGGGGTGGCACCTGGGGTGGCCAATCAGATTCCAAAGGTGCTAGCCCCTGGACACACCCCTGCCCAGAGTGTCCTTGATTAATTCTACAAGATTTATGATTCCCACATGAAATGGTAACTAAATCCACAGATTTATATTTACCTTTTATTTGGCTGTAACCTTCTGTCTGCTCTCCTCCACGTTATCCGAGGTTTAGGCGACGCCCTCGGTTTGCATTCCAGGGAGACGTCTTTTCCAAGTGTGGCTATTACCCGAACCGGATTGGTGACAAAGAGAGGGGGTGATGCTGGGTAGGAAAATAAAAAGTTTAATATTAGAATCAAATATTAATGCAACAAATGAAAGAAAGTTTTATTTTTCTTCCCTATTTTGGATCCATGTAATTCAGCAATGATTTGTGAGCGTTTCGACCTGCCTGTTGAAGTCTGTGCAATCATATTGACAAACTATTTACTGTTGGTTGGGTTTCTGTGCAACAATGTGAGGTTGGTAAATTTATTCCAAACAATGGTGAGTGAAAACAGTTCACCAAATGTAGCTGCAGCTTTGTGAGCAGCCTGATATTTAAGGCAATAAATACAGAGCAAACGTCAGATTTACTGAAATCACTGCAATGCAGAAGAGAGAAAATAATGAAATTAATATTGTGAAAATGGCAAACAGCCTAACAGGAAAAAAGTCCTTATTGCACACTGATATTATATGCATAAAGGATAAATCATGATGTTCCGAACATAAAAAAAAACTTCTATTGAAAAAGTAAAAAGACAATAATGATAACAAACTTGTCATAAAGTGTTTTTCATTGCACAATGTATCAACTTGCAACACTTTAAAGTTAATTATCACACAATAAAATGTTTTCTCTTTTTACAACACAATATAGAGATAGGGTGAGAAGCTCGGTCATCCGGGAGGGGATCGGAGTGGATTCGCTGCTCTTCCACATCGAGAGGAGCCAGTTGAGGTGGCTCGGGCATCTGGTCAGGATGCCTCCCTGGTGAGGTTTTCCGGGCACGTCCAACCGGGAGGAGGCCTAAAGGTAGGCCCAGGACACGGTGGAAGGACTTGAGGGCCATTCCCATCTGTACCGGGTCGGCCCGGGCCGGGTAGCGTAGGTTGTTTACATATCTGGGTGGCCTGGTATTTTTCCGGGCCAACCAAGGCTCATTCTCAGCCCTCTTCTCGCGGGGGTCTGCTTCAGGCCGACCAGGGCCAACACACCCACTGCTGACAGCAAATTCACACCTTCCATTAGAGCAAGCCTCTGATTGGTGGGTAGAATCAGCCCACATGGGCTTAAGGCAAGGAGGTGTGGAATCAACCGGGCCAGGCTGGGGCCGACTGGGGCTACCCGGCCCGGGCCGACCCGGTACAGATGGGAGTGGCCCATATGTCTCTCACCTGGCCAGAGAACACCTTGGGATTCCCCCAGAGGAGCTGGCCCAAGTGGCTGGGGAGAGGGAAGTCTGGGCCTCTCGACTTAGGCTACTGCCCCCGCAACCCGACTCCGGATAAGTGGATGAAAATGGATGGATGGATGGATGGATGGATGGATGGATGGATGGATGGACAACACAATATGGGACAATTTTTTTCAGTGCCCCTGTCCCCTCTCCAAAATGAAAATGCTTCATGCTGTTTTAAGTAGGGATACACTATATATAAGCATCAATGTCGATGTTGGCCGATGTTAGACTGATACCAATATGTTAAAAAGCCTCTAAGTATAACTGGGCAGAGATTTAACAACTGGTATTTTTCCTTCTTGGTTCCGTTTGTGTATCTGTTTCAGAGGATAAGGGGGGTGATGATGTGCAACTGTTTAGTCATGTGACTGTGATGGTAATCATCTCCATCCATCCATCCATCCATCCATTTTCAGCTGCTCATCAGCAGACTAAGCAGAAAGGCCCAGACGTCCCTCTCCCCAGCTACTTGGGCCAGCTCTTCCAGGCCAGCCGAGAGACATCTCCAGCGTGTTCTGGGTATTCCTTTAAGTCTCCTCCCAGTTGGAAGTGCTTGAGAAATCTCATGAGGGAGGTGTCCAGGAGGCATCCTGACCAGTTTCTCGAGCTACCTCAACTTGCTCCGCTCAATGTCGAGGAGTGGTGGGTTTTCTTCAAGCTCCTCACCTTATCTCTAAGGAAGAGCCTAGACACCCTGTGGAGAAAACACATTTTGGCCGCTTGTATCTGTGATCTCATTCTTTCTGTCACTAACTGGTGCCCACAGATGAGGGTTGGAACATAGATCGAACGGTAAATCGAAAGCTTTGCCTTCTGGCTTAGCTCTCTCTTCACCCTTCACCATAACGGACTGGTACAAAGCCCGCAGTACTGTAGGTACAGCCCCAATCCACCTGTCAACCTCACGCTCATCTAACCCTAACCCTCACTGATGAACAAGACCCAGAGATACTTACTCCTCCACTCGAGTCAGGACCTCATCCCTGACCTGGAGAAGGCATTCTACCCTTTTCTAACTCAAGACCATGATCTCGGATATCGTCTCAGAAGCCTAAATGTGTGTGGTGTGTGTCTGAAATAACATGCACATATTCTTTATTAATTACTTATATATGGCATCAGCAAATATTGGTGATTGGTCATTACAGAAATATGATTATCTGCCTAAAGTTTCAAATCATTGCATCTGTAGTTTAAACCCATTTGTACATTTTCAGTCGTGTTGATTATAATAATTATTCATAAACTTTTTTTAAAGCCTTTTCAGCAATAGAAGAGAATTTGAGATGAAACAAAAACCGCTTACACAAACTCCTACTGGGCACGTTTCTGATTACACATTTACTCAGACACACTGTAAACGTCCCAATCTATTGTTTCTCTGTTATTTGTTGTTGTTCATGGAGCAGCCTAATTAAGCAGCTAAATGTTGTCCTAATGATAACATCGTTGAACGCTTTAAGACATTTTTTATGTTATTAACCTATATTTAACCAGGCTGCTTGAGTGGATAATTATTACACATGAAATAATTACGTTTTTATTTTAACGAGAAGCGTGTATGAGCCATGTACCAGCTACAGGGCTTTGTCAACAGTGATTATTCAGATTTTGAATGATGCCTCATAGGTGACATTATACACAATGACAATTCAATCTCATCTGTAGCTACAGGCTGACCTCTCTCCCTGCAACACTTGTGTCTTTAAGCCTGAGTAGTTGTCTGAGTGGCGGAGGTCCCTCAAGACACAGAAAGGAGCAGAAAACAGAGCAGTTGCTGTGTGTATTTGCTATAATCAAAGCTGGTGGCAGCAGAGCGAGCACTCCTCCACCCGCCGTTCCCCCAGCGGAGCTGGATCTGGGACAAGATCGCAGACATGAGGGCAACCGCTGCTCCCGTGTAGCCTCTAGTGATCGCTCATCTGCAGGCTGTTATTAGTCATGTAATCTGTCCTGATAGTGCTTGCTTCTGGACATCTAGACAGAGTGCAGGTCATCGGGAAGATGTACCCGGAGGGTAAAGTTATGAAAACATTCGTCAACAGCTTGCAAATATCACTGATGTGACTGTGACTGCGAGCAAGGCAGAAGTACCTCCTCGTCAGCTCAGATCCAACTTTTTAAAGTCTAGAACTTTTAAATCATCCAGACAAACACCTTGAGTTTAAACCAACTAAACAGTGTGGTTTTACTCAGCTGGTTCAAAACCGTGGTAGGAGAAAAAAAAAATAACTTTATCCATTTGCAGAACGATTTTGAAAATGCCACAGATTCCCCTTCAGAAAAGGGCAAGCCATAAAGACAGTAAATCAAGTTGTCCCTGAGGGAAAAATGAAAGGGGAATGGGTCTCACCAGATGTGTCCCAGTACAGAAGATGACAAGGAGAAAATAGTGCATCAGCTCAGAACAGTGGACAGCTATTCAGTTTGACTCCTACATTTTAGCCTGAAGCCACAACACTCAAGATCACCATTTTCTTTTTGTTCTATTGTATCTCCTAAAATGTCCTAAAATGGGGGGTGTTCTGCCCTGTTGTGGAGTTGCTACTGCTAATGGTTAGCTTCTGATAGCTAAGTCGTATTCGGCTCTCTCTTGGACGCTTAAGCCTAATTCATACTTCTCTATCCCACGTCGTTATGTGTTGATGTAAGGGCTCGCAGAGGCTGACTGAGACATGTCCAACTTTTAACTATCCATCAAAAGTGACGGAGACCATGAGTTTGTGATTAGACAGGATGCTGCTTCCTTTAAATTCGTCAACAACACTGCCATTGTCCCCTCAAAAGATAAAAAGATATTTAGCGACAGACACGGAACAGACTGAAGAACACCTAAAAAAAAAATAGTCTGAAAATATAAATGTTTATTCACCCGTGACTGAAGGAGTACACAGATAAGCAGTCATGGACAGAAATGACGGGAAACGTGGATTTAGAGGTGTCGTTTGCACGAAGAGGTGGAGGAGAATGAGGAACAAATCTATCTGTGGTAAAAAGTCAATAGTACATACATTATCGTGGACCGGATACATGACTGCAATGGTGGCAGGACGCTGCAGAAAAGTTCTGCGCCCTCAGTTGACCTGGCGGGGAATTGCTTTGCAACACTCCCTAAAGCCGGGCGTACACTGTGTGACTTTTTTCCCTTTTTTGAGCCAATTTTCCACTCGTGCGAGAATCCACAAGATCGGGGCGAGTTTTGCGCCGAGCGTCGTGTAGTGTACAGGGGGTCACGAGAGGCGATTAACACCAAGTGACCAGCTACAGATCAGCAATCGTGAGCTCGCACAAACTTCTGGCGTGTTTAATATTTTGCTCGTCCCTCGTGAGGGTACCACACTGTTGAAGCGGTGCTGCGAGCAGCTGCGACCCAAAAAGTATCAGAACCGCTCACGGCACAATCATGCATCAACACTGCTCGCCCGCTATTTCCCTAATAACACACGTTGTTCGTTTTTGTTTCTACACGTTTTTTTACTCACAAAGACTGTCAAGAAAGCGTGTTTGTCGTGTTCATGTCAAATTAAACTGATCACAAAACACAGATTTACTTTCTTTATTTCGTTTTCCTCAACCAACCCCCATGAATCCCCGTGTGTCCTCCTGCAGCACTCCCGAAGGACAACAGGCAAAACAAGACAAAAAAGTCTGACGTGTTGTGAAAAAACTGCTATTTTTAGCATATTTTTAGGTCCGACGTGTTGCTACCAGACGTACAGTGTGAGCAGTCAGGTCGCATCCGAGAACTGGGTCGTGCAGTGTGAGCACATGACTCGTGAGATCTGCCCTGCGAGGAAGTCGTACAGTTTGAGCTAAAGCTGAGTGCTACGAGTGAAAAAGTCGCACAGTGTACGCCCAGCTTAAGTTGTGGAGAAGTCTGAAGAGCGTGTGAGTGACTCCACACATGAGCTGATGGAGAAGCATAGATTAGGCTTTAATCAACATCCTTCCACGGTCGTAAGCCAGTGTAGTAGTTCCCTGTGACAAAAATGAAACAGGGTATTTTTGACCCAGGTGTTTCACAGCTAATGCAGGAAGTGGTCTTTATTTGATATAGAGTCCTGGAACCCCCCAAGGTACTTTACAACATAGTCATTCACCCATTCACACAAACATTCACAAATGGGGGTTGAAGACTATTTTCACGTTTAGCATGTGAAACTCCTACTTTTAAAAAAGAACAAGTATTAGAACCTATACGGTTTCTCATTAAAACCTTACCTTTTAAAAAGCAGCTATTATTGCTGATATGAAATTATTACAGGGCAATCGTGATCCTGAGTGATGGAGGTCATAAAGTGGAAGTCACTTTGTTCTTGGAATTTGATGCAACAGCAAACAAAACCTAGATAGGACCCTAACGGAGTCATTAAAATCCAGTTCCTTGTCTTTGGTCCTATTAGTTTAAATCTATACCGATGACTAACTGGTTTATATTCTTGTCAGACAAAAAAAAATGTTCCAGACTCACTCCAACATGATGTGTGCAGACAGCTCAGAGAAAATGACCATGAGAGTCCTTCTTTTATTCATGCTGTCCACTGCCTGGGCTAAATCAGGGACCATTGATTGGCAATCAGCATATCTCACAGTCCAGCGTTCTCCTCTAGAATGTCAATCCCTTGACCTATAATCCTGATTTTATGTGCTTGTGGAAGATTAAACAATAAAATGCTGAAAAATAAGAGCTGGATCATAAATGTGACCTTTTTGGATTAGTTTAAGGCATCAATCATTTACCTAAAATCTTCAGCTCAGCGTTCGAGTAGACAGCTCCGTACTTATTTTCGGCGACACACTGGTACATTCCTGAGTCCGCCTGCTGCACTTTGTGAATGGTCAGTTCCCCATTCACAATTTCAACGTGATCCTGAAACAAGAAAACAGAAAGCATGAACGTGAGCACGCTTCACATGATAATGCTGCATAAATTGTGCAATCAACGATGGAGAGGGTCCAGTGTATTAAAGGTACCTTAGCATTCAAGGGCAAACCATTACGAAGCCAGCGATAGTTGGGCCGAGGCCTTCCGATGGCCTTGCACTCCCACTGGAGCTTCTCTCCACTATCCATCTGAGTATCATTAATCATTCTGACCCACTGAGGGAGAGCTGCAAGATAGCAGAAGAAAAAAAGGTATAAGAAGAATAAGAAATCTATCCTTGAAACACACACAAGTGCACTGTCAACACTGTGTGAGACTGTATGTCGATAGCTGCAAAGATTAGTTGATTCATCTAATGAAAAAGAGCATTATTGTGAAAATATCTCTGACAGCTGAAGCGTTAACGCCAAACACCACACGCTTGATAAAGGTTTTCTGCTTTTTTGTTATATATTATTAAATCAAATCAACCAGTATTTTACTGGTTCAGAAAACGCACGGTTAGAAAGTCAAACCTCCGGACAGAACAAAACTCCCTCAGCCTATTTTAATTGTAAACAAAGCATGCATCTGTGCTGCAGAAAGAGAATAAGAGAAAGGCTTTTCTGGGACCACGAGCTGCATATATGTCAAAGAAAAAGAGGAAAGCATTCACTCCCTTCCAAGAACAGAAGACTTTCATGTTTGTTTGTGTCACTTGCAGACTCAAGGCCATGGGGAGATCGTTGCTACAGAAAATAAAAATGCTGAAATCTCTACTTAGTAACCCCTAAAGTACTTTAGCTTGTTTATTTCCTAAAATTATTTGTATCAAGCTCATATAGAAGATGAAATAATTCTTCCACTGCACAGCCGGTCTATGATCCAAACAACACTGGGAGCTCCCATAACATTAGGCTTTTTTGTTGTTCTTGTGTTTGGCCCATACGGCTGACTTTCCTGTTTTACCAGTTACGCGTCCCGCTCACTTTCACTACAGACAATAAAACACCACTAAAGATCACAAATAGCATATGGCCTGCATGTAGTTGTCACTTCACTTTGAAGTGAAGTGTTGTTGGCAACATATGTTTTCATTCTTTCCTTCTGTCGTTTGTTAAAATTAGTGAAAAGTAAGCCTATAGAGTAATGCAATGATAAATTAGTACAAATTATGTATTGTTTTATTTTATTTTTTAAGGGGTGTGGTGTTTTCAAAAGCCTTTTGGCTTCTACCACTCCACACCCATCCATTTATTATTGTTTATATGTCTTTCTTCTTTTTGTGTTGTGGAAGTGTATGTTCTGTAAAACTTGTGCAAATTAAAAATAAAAAAAAATAAGTGATTTGTTTTTCAAAATGATCTTTTTCTTATTTTACTTCTAGCAAATTTAGAAAATTACAAGTGAGCCTGAAACAAATGTAGAGGTCAGATAATGTTTTTTAATTGTCCACTATCAAAAGAACGAATGTAGGCGCTGATGTTTTAGCCATTTTTTGCTGTGTGTGTGTGTGTGTGTGTGTGTGTGTGTGTGTGTGTGTGTGTGTGTGTGTGTGTGTGTGTGTGTGTGTGTGTGTGTGTGTGTGTGTGTGTGTGTGTGTGTGTGTGTGTGTGTGTGTGTGTGTGTGTGTGTGTGTGTGTGTGTGTGTGTGTGTGTGGGTGTGTGTGCATGCACATGTTTACATGATTTTAGCTAGCATATCTCATGAATCACTGGGTGGATTTCTTTAATTACAATTTCTGATTATAATCAGTCAGTCTGAGATTTTCATGCTGGCTGAACATAAGAGCCTCCTACACCTATCTGCTGCTAGGATTAGAAAAGCCTGACAGATCTACATCACACTGTCACTTAACGCTCATGGTCTCACCCATCTTGACTCATGATGGGAAAGGCTGTTGTTGATTTAGCGTGCAGGAAACAGCAGATAACATATTGGCTAGTAGAAGCTAACTGTTAGCATTAGCAACTCCACCACACAGCAGGACTCCTCCAGTGAAGATAAAACATCAATGTTGCTAAGTAAACAGAGTCAGTGGTAGAGTTGCATTTCTGTAAGCCAATCAGAGGTGAGATGTCCAAATATCAGGAAGTAAGACTCTAAATCCTGTCGACTGAAGCTCTCTTCTGATCTGGCAATCTTCTAGATTCTGAATCAGATGCACCGGGGCTTTTTATACCCAGAATACAACTTACAAGGCATTAATTTCTACTCTAGATCACTGCAAATGTATAAATTAAAAGAGAGAAGCACACCTTTAAAGAGTAACAAAATCCCAAAATAACACTTTTTGTGCTTATTAACTGTATAATTGTGTTTTTACAAATGCAATCTTTCCGTTTCTGTGCATTATTTTTGACATATTTGTGTAAACTTGATTAAATCTAGAATCTAGGTCTAAAAACATCTAAGTGCTGCCCCCGTGGCACAGCAGCGGCTACTGCATTTTAAATTTGTGATTGACTGGGGCTGGAACACTTTCACGTCATCAGTACAGTGTCCTCCCACTCCCCCTTCCTCCCAGGATGGAATTCCCCACACTTGGCCATGCTACTATGTGCCTCCTGGCAACGCCCACTTTCATAGCATTTTTCATATCTTGACTAGGGGTGGAGTTACATTTTCTGATGGTGTGCAGTCCTTCTTTAAATATCCCAAATATGGCTCTAACTTAGGCTTTCCACCAGCTGCATAAGCTGCATGTAACATAACAGACACGTATTCTGATTAGCTCAGCGACGTGCCTAATCCCACCAAGAGCGCTTCAGACGCTAATTGGAAATGCGATCTATGCTCTGCAAGGTCACAAGACCACTAGAGAACTGTGAGATCAGAAGTGATTTTGGCAGTTCAGGACAAAAATGACAGCATGTATCTAAAAAAGTTGGTGGTTTATTTTATTTTATTTTACCTCCGCTACAGAAGTTTATTTCACTAGACAAGCACCTGGGTATCTGCACATCTTTTATTTTGAAAGTTGCCAGATGTTTTACGCTGCTCCTATGTTTAAATTCCTTTCTGGCCCAATTTGAACTGCTGAGCTTGATTCTGACAGCATAGCATTTAACAAATAGACCTGACGCACAAATTTAGTAGCCTGGCAAGCCATGCTATATATGTGAATATATGGTCTGTCCATTCAAGCTACTTCTACATGGTTTTGGACAGTGAACAACTCGACGTACTCATTGCAACAGATGTCAGTCAGTGGGGCAGTCCGTCATACACTCCCAAAGAAAACACAAAAGCATCCTTTTAAAAGGAATTGAGTACCTCTATCTGCTCTAGACCCAAAGAAAATATCAAGTTTAAATTGTCTAATCATTTCAAATAGGCAACCACCATCTTAGTTGTTCCACTTTGTCGCAGCAACATCCCGCCAACCAAACCGATAGAACCATGTGATTGGCTCACCAAACCGATAGAACCATGTGATTGGCTCACCAAACCGATAGAACCATGTGATTGGCTCACCAAACCGATAGAACCATGTGATTGGCTCACCAAACCGATAGAACCATGTGGTTGGCTCACCAAACCGAGTGAGTGGCAAGACACAAGACTGTTCAGGCCTGCCGAGGCTCGTGGCTAGACCGACCAGCAGAGAAAAATCCTTTTGCTTTTGCTGTGGTCTGTCTAGATTTCTAGGCTACAAATTTGGTGGAACAATGTGACATTATGCTTCTGATGGAAACAATGACCTTGACTCCAAAGACGGCTAAGGGCTGAGAATTACATTTTGTGGACAATACGTGACACTTGTGCATCGGGTGAAATGCCAGAATAACCCAGTTTGATTTTTAGACATTGGTCTAGAATTTTCTGCGCTGGTAACAGAACATAATCTCCATTGCATATCCTTAGAACACAAAGCATCCTTCTATAATTAATTGACTTTGCAGTGAAGCCACCATAGCGAGACAAGCTAAGCTAATAATTAAGTGGCTAGAACTTGTTGGTTTTACAGAACTTGAGCAACACACTAAGTGCTAATATGTCGCCAAATGTAGCCTTTCTGAGATTTGAAGAAAATGTCTATAATTGATTTCTCAACATAAATTCATCTGTTTTTGATATACAAGAGTAGAGCTGATAAAGGGTGACATGAGCACCTTCAAATAATGCTAGGCCTTTTAATTTTACATCTAGCAATGTATGAGAATAAAAAACAACAGTGCATGCTTTAAAGCACAAGGTTTTAGTAACCTGTTAAATTTCACAATTCATCACAGCAACTCTGTTCTCTGCACAAAGAGACTGGGAAGACTTTATGTCTGTAATGCTAAGTTTGAGTTAAATTTGTGTTTTAGTTCATTTCAATTTATTTATATGCCACCAATTCACAGAAAGTCTTCTCAGGCCACCATACAGGGAAAATCAGAGCTTCAGATTAAAACTAATTACATCGTCTAGCTCAGTTTAATCGATACAGAACCCAAAACATAATCCAATCTGCCTCAATACAGTTAGATTTAATGTAAAATAATTAGAAAATGGCATTTTCAAATGTTGTTTAGCTAAAAGCAGCTAACAGATTGCATCAAACTGTCTCCCCTTTTTCTGCAGATGGACTTAAAATGCAAAGAAGCCCTGCAGTCACTTCTGATATGCTTTAACTGGTTTTGTTATATTTTAGTTGCAAAGAAAATTTGATCATAATAAATCAAGATCGTTGAGCAGTAGCTCCTGCAGCACATTGGCTGCATTGTGGTGTATTTTCCATCCCTTGTATGTAGATTTTCCATCCCTTGTATGTAGATAAGCACTAAGCCCGGAGTATTGAGCTGTTTCTTCCACACCAAACACTTCTTTTCTTCTTCATGCATATGCCACCTCCAGCGGAACACATTCCGTGCAGTTTGATTGAATGATTATGGTCAGAGAGGTCTCCCTCACAATGAAAGTTCAAACTCTCACATGACCTGTGTAAATTACATTTAGTGCAGGGCTGCTACAAATTAGGTCCCTATTCTCCTTGTGATGTCAACAGAATGGAGGTTGCCAAGAAGTGCAGGGTCTTGGAAATGTGTCCTACCAAGGTTGAGGCAGTCCATTATCTGTGTCCGGTGCACAAGGCACAGACAAAGAGGGATGGGAGACATCTAGCAGCTTAGATAAGTTTATGATCACTGGCAAAAAAAAAAAAAAACTTATTCAACCTCACTTCCTTGTTCCCCATTTTGCTGGAAAGTGAAAAGCTGTTCCTCGTTGAAGGATCATTCTTGTTTTAATCTTACTTTAATGGAGTCAAATTTAAAATTTGAACTGGCTGCAATTTTTCCACATGAAATGCCCTGACGAAATGTACTTTCAAAATAAAATGATCGACTAAACCTGTATATTTAATTAATATTTTGGCAAATTACATAAAATTCATGCACAGTTTAAGCATAAATGACATTTTAATTAAAACTGAGATGAATGCTCATCAAAACATCTTTTTACAACTAATCTTCAACATAATTTTTTTAAATCTATTTTAAAATGCAATTAATTATTTGTGGGGTTATTTCTTTCCAAAGTCATGCACAGCAATGAAAAAAAAAATTGTTAAAAGTACAATTAAACAGCAATGTACTACATTTTCTCCACTCAAACAAAGAAGCACAATAAATGTGACAAAAATGTGTTCTCAGATTATCGCGGATGAATGTTTAATTAGTGTTTGCCTGTTTGGGATATTTCAAAGGGACCCTTCCTAGCCTTGAATTTGAGAAGACTGTAAAAAGCAAAGATTACCCTGTGAAGAAAAAAAAAGAGCTGAAAACCAAAAAGTAGAGCAGTTATGCTGACTGCTTTTCCTGGTATAAATATACCAACACTTGTGATAATGTATGCTGCTTCTGGATAATGCATGATGGCTGCACAAAAGCAGAAAGGATCTAAACAGACCAGCAGGGAATAAGAGCACGAGAGCCTGAATAGCCAAACAGTCACACTGCATGCATACCACACAACCACAGAATAAAAGAAAACGGTTTGATTTCTTTTTCTAAAGAAGAAAATGAAAAGTGACAGTAGACTCAGACTCACTGTAGACCTGCAGATGCCCTTTGAAAGCAGTCCCTCCCCTCGGATTCTCAGCTTTGCATTCATATGTTCCCGAGTCCTCCAGTTGAATATTGGGAATTTCTAATACAGCTTGGGACTTCCGCAGTCTGGCCTTTTTGGGGATGTTGCCATTTATCTTCCTCCATGTGATTGTTGGCACTGGACTGTGACGGGAGAAAAACAGTACTGAACACCATCCAGTGCAGTGCAATATAACAAGAGCATTAGCAGTATCTATGTAAGGTAAAGGGTTTGAGGTGCAATCAAGCAATTCAGTACAGACAAAAGTATCATGCTCATTGTTTTCTTAAACATTTTATGTTACATGGTGTTACACAAGCAGAGGAGAATATTCATAATCGCTTCACCATGTAGAAGAGATAAAAAACTTAATGAGAACCTTTTTTAAATGTCTATTATTCTTCCGGTAAACACAATGTTTGTCCAACTTTAATGTGTATTTACTTCAGCGGTGGAAGAAGATGTTGCCAATTGGGACTATGATTAATTTATAGAACATTTGTTTCATTAATACATTTGCAGTGATCTCTGGTAGTTATGAATGCATTACAAGTTGTACTCGGGGGGGGGGGGGGGGGGGGGGGGTCTGCTGCTGCAGCAGACGGTAGATTTGTAGTCATATCTCCTGATACTGAGACATTTAGCCTCGGATTGGGTAACAGCAATGTGACTCTACCACTGACTCCGTTTGCTTGGGCATGTGGATGTTTTCTCTCCACAGATAACACAAGCCTGGAGGAGCTTCTGCTGTGTGGTTGTGTTGCTGAAGCTAACGGTTAGCTTCTGCTAGTTCACTGCTGTTTCCTGGACGTTAAAACAACAGTCTTCCCTGCCACGAGCCAAGATGAGTGGCTCCAAGCAACCGCTTGATGTAGAGCGATCAGGGTTTTCAAATCCCAGAGCGTTGCCATCTATTTTCATCAGAAGCTAATGTAGGGGATAGGTGTAGGTGTATTTTCATGTTCAGCCTGCATGAAAAAAATCAGACTGACTGATTATAATCAGAAATAATAAATAAAAAAGTTTTTCAGAGTTCCACAATAATAATTTCACATTTTTTCTTAAGATTTTACTTTGGTTGTTTTCTGTCTGTGCTGCGTGAAACGTCTCAGCTGATGTTTAAGCCATCTTTTAATGGTAGGTGACTTTTCCAACAAGACAATTATTTATACGTATAAGTAGTCAGTTGAGGTAATCCTGCAAAGTCAAACGCAAGTGAACAGATTCCAAATACTTAAAGAATTTTAAAAATGTCAAGATAGGCTGAAAAAAAAACCAAGAATATGAAACAGGAAGTGTAAGTTATTTATTTAATCAGAACTGGGAAAGTGTGGCATTTCTGGCAAATAAATACATATAAACTCCCAATGAGAACAGAGCACTGACCAAGACACATCAGGACTGCTGTTTCATGTGTTTCATTGAGACTAGTTCATTATAATATCTTCAGACTCTGAAGTTTTTAGCTCACAAAGGCAGGCGGGGATTGCAGACAGAACTGCAAATGTTGAGCGTCTCCCAAACTAAACAAATCCAACATTCAAGCTGGAAAGGCTCAGAACCAGTACTAGAGGAAAAATATCTGCATGCTAGAGATTTATTTAAGAATGGGCAAAAGGACACAACAAACAGAATGGAAACACTACAACCAAGCTAATAGCAACATAGTTTAGATGTTTGGTTTCTAATGCTCGTCTGGTCTTATCAATCCAATCCTAAATTTTTGACTGTACTGGTTTGTGACGTTTATTACCAGAGATGTGACCAAGTCACTGCTTTGGAAGTCACAAGTAAGTCACAAGTCTTTCCAGTCAAGTCTCGAGTCAAGTCCATGTCAAAGACGATCAAGTCCAAGTCGAGTCCAAAGTCAATGATGTGGACGTCCAAGTCAAGTCCAAGTTCTTGACTTTGAATTTTCAAGTCATTATCAAGTCATCTGTCCAACCTCAATTTAATGACAATGATAATAAATAAATTCCGGAAATAAAGCTTCTTAAGGCTTCATTTATTTGCTCAAACAAGCAGAAAGTGCAACTGAAACTGAATATAAACAAAGTGCTGCTGCATTTAGCAGTACAACATCTAACCCAGAACGAAGAATGATTTATGATTTTTGTCCATGTTGCGCCACTTTTGTGCTGAAATATCAAATATGCTCAAGTCATCATCAAGTCAACAGATGCACGTTGATTCAAGTCGCAAGTCATTGGCGTTCAAGTCTGAGTCAAGTCAGAAGTCATTAAAACAATGACTCGAGTCCAAGCCATGTGACTCGAGTCCACACCTCTGTTTATTACACCTATCAACCTTTTTCTGACACTTTAGTACTTCACAAAGCCAAATCACAATACTCAAATCATTCTAATAAAGCGCCAGACAAATGAACCATATTTTCATTCAAGACTTTCCGTGTACATCCATGCGACAGGCAACTTTTCCCAGCTAAAGGAGGCTGCCCTATAATGTGTTCAGTATCAGTCATTTCATGTATGACAAGTGGATTTGACAGGTCCCTGAAAGATGGAAACGTGACACCACACAAAACCTTCAGTGAATCCATCAATCATTTAGCCAAGATGGAAATGTTACATCCCTGAGCTTTCTTATCCCTTCACAAGGACGATGAATCGCCCTTGAGTGCAGAGGGCTCGAATTTCAATGTGCATGTTTCCTCTTTATTTAATTAGGGACTCGAGTTTCTGAAAACTGCTTTTTTTTCTTAGGTAACACCAACAACACCTGCCATTTTATGGTTGGATACTGGGTGTAAGGACAGCGTATATGCGACCAAACAACAAAGGAGTCATAAAGATTTAATCAGTACTCATGGATACAGGATGACGCTGTGGTAAAACATTTTATACTTACTGATGGTCAGTGATGGAGACCTTTGCTCTCCCTAAACTCTCAACAAGGCAGAGAACAAATGAAATCTAAAGGGACCTTGCAGAGTTGAAACATAACGGTGAATATTTGCGAGTCCGTCGCGGGGCTTCTCTTTGGGGGATGAGTAATGAGTGTCGGGACTGTACACACTCAAAGCACTAGGGAGCATCCGAGAGAAAATGGGTTCACTCAGTTTAACAAGAAACTCTCCATGTCTACCAAAGATGTCGGCACCAAATCCTGTAGCCTGGTCAACTGACGTTTGTGACGGTGTGGATGCTACTCACCAAGGTGTTTTCAGATAACATCGGTGCCCATTGGCAGTATTTGGATCTGCATTTCACATAATTCTTTGCCCTCCTATGCTTTCATAATTAACATTCAAATTTGGATGTGAAACAAAATTATATTTATAAACTGTTTTCTTATAGATCACTGAGAAATCGTTTTAAGTAGTTTTAAAAGTTTTGCAGTAGCTCAGGTGGTAGAGCGGGTTGCCTCATGATCGGAGGGTCATGGGCTCGATTCCAGCTCCCGCCAGGGGTATCCTGCTGTTGTGTCCTTGGGCAAGACACTTCACCCAACTTGCCTGTGTTAGTGGTGGTCAGAGGGGCCGACGGCGCCAAATGGCAGCCTCACCTCTGTCAGACCTCCCCAGGGCGGCTGTGGCTACAAGTAGCTTACCATCACTAGCAGTGTGTGAATGTGAGAGTGTGTGAAAGCGTCTTTGGGTGTCTAGAAAAGCGCTATATAAGTTCAATGCATTATTATTATTAAGTAATTTGCCAATTGCTTTATTTTCCATTTCCCTTTAGGGACGTAACTCTAAAGGAAGTAAGTAAATTAAACATAAATACACATTTTAACAGTATATCTAAGCACACACGACTGCCTGTGAAACATTTTAACCAAAGCACCAAAGGAATAAATGGGCTGTGTTAAGAGGCACTCTGATGCTGCTGATAATGTGGTCGTGGATTGCTCAATGAGGAGAGTAACTGCAGGAATTCAAGGGCTGGATTCCTGCTGGGGTCACTGAAACTCCAACTAAATCCACTACTCTACCGCTGTTTGGATAAAAGCAACCAGAGGATTCCGTGTATCATGCTTTAAGTGCAAAAGAGTGGGTTGAATGCGCAGCTTGTCGAATTTACCAGGCTTTTTGAACTACAATGGACTTTATACTGCAGTAAAATCTCCTGAAAAAGAAGCAGCAAACATGACTAAAGTTTCCAGAGCTGGTTTTAATGAGGGGCTTCAAAAGTGTGACTGTTTTTTGACAGTTTGACAAGATTCATGAATATTCTGACCCTTTGCTTTAATTAAAACATTTCTATGAGCTGAATGATGACCATTTTATATGCCAAACCAAAATATTCCTGAAGACATGTTTTTTTACTTGTCACAGACACCAGGATTATTTGAGGAAAACACAGTTTTATTGTGAATTTGGGCTTTAATCCAAGCTGTAAAATCCAAGTATAGGTTAAGTTTGATCATTTGTTTATGCTTTTGCTTTAATTATTTAATAGTTTGGAATAGCCTACTAGTGATTCCTGACCTAAAAAATACCAACCCGTTGCATAACATTTGCACGTTTTATTGCAATATTGTTACAGAAGAATGAATCTTTCACTATCAAATTAAGGTTTGAATTTTACATTTACGTATAGAATTTTATTTTCAACAGACTATTTTGGGTAGCAAAAATAAAATTTCTATAAGTGAGTTTGGAGGCTGAATGTTTTGGGTCCATTAATGGTGTAAAGGAGGGGTGTCAAACATACGTCCCGCGGGCAAATGGGTTAAATCCGGCCAGCGAGATGGTTGTGTAAACTTTGTTATCATACTTTACAATGTAGAGTGAAAATAAACTTATCTTTGTGAGCAAGTTTCCTCTCTAATGAGTATAAATAAAACAAAGCTGCGCTCAAGGCTCACACAAGAACTTGAATCACATCCTGAAGTTGGCTGCCTCTCAGGATGTGACTTCTGATATTGATGTGCCGGTGCAAGCTAAATGATGTTAAGTAAAATGAATCAAATATACTTTAAGTGCTGCATGAAACTGATCTAGCCATGTGATCTGTAAGCTCTTTGAATCACTAAGGAATGTTTTTATTTATTTAATATAATTAAATTTCTAATTTTCAAGTACACTTCAGGTGTTGTACTATTTTGGATACACTGTCTTCAGGCTCCAGCTTTGTTTTATATTGATTGTATTAAAATAAAGAAAACAATCTGAAGTTGTTTT